CATCCCCCCCCCCCCTTGTCATATTAAATGAACTTTCCCTTAGATTCGAGGACGAATACGCGTACGAGATTTCACTTGAAGTTTTTTCGCGTCTTCTCAAAATATAAACTTCCCGGAAAGCTTCATTTTACCATTTTTCACTAGAAAATTTAGCATTGTTATCCTAAGTGAAGAAGGTTATGCGCTCTCCCGATCGCAAAATGATAAAACGTCTGACATTCGCCACCAGGACATTCGCGCGAAAACTCGTAGTAGAATGACGACGGCTACCACGTTTTCCCGCCAAAATGACGCTGGCTCACGCACGTACACCACTTAGTATTGAGAAAATCTCGTACTCATAGTCGTACTCGTCTTAGAATTTAAAGGTCTCTACTGTCTTGTCTCGGGTGCGAGCATCCGTTTATTGATAAACCGATAGCCATAACTGAGCCCACTGTACCAAGGTCACTGTTAGGCCTGGCATCGGAACTGTATCAACAAAGATCTTACTCGATTCATGCAGTCTCTCTCCCGAGTACGCAAAAATCGGGCAAGCGAAAGAAAGTAAACCCTGGTCGTTTCGATACAAATTCGTTTCCAGACGAACACTTCAAGCTGTGAAATTGCGCAAAAATTTCTTTCACCGCGAATATAGTTTGCTCGTGAACAAAACAAAAAACATTTTGGGTGAATCTTCAACGCCACCACTGAGTAAACTTGTATCGAAACGACTTTGTGTCGGAAAGACCGGTAAACTTATCAAATGATCTGCTGAAAGGGTGTTTTCGGGCGGGTAAGGTTCCGAGAAAAAAACAAACACTTAAAACATTTTCGTGTAATACGTTTCTATGGTTATTTCTCTAAGATTTACTTAAGAAAGGTTCTTTACAGCTAGCCATTCACGTGGTAAAAAACCGCCTTGCTGCAGAGCAAAAGTGGCACTGGGACAAGACAAATAAAAGGCATACATAATTTTAAATAGTAATTTCCTTTGTTTGTGTTGTCCCAGTACGACTTTTTCTCTCGAGCATGGCGGTTTTGTACCACGTCAATGGCTAGCTGCAAAATCTGTAGACTCGGAATCAGTTTGATTCCAGATTGTTATTTGGCACTATTAAGAACACAGATTAGAACGATATATAGGCGAATCCTCGTTTACATTTTTTGCCTCATTAGCATGGGCGTATCATTATCTGATGAAGCTTATAAAATAAAATTCTGAATATTGAAAGAGCATAACAATTTCAGTTATCTTTGAAAATTTGAGTCCGACATACCAAATGGTTTGTCGGAGAAGTTCTCCTTGAAAAACCCTCAAACTTTACAAAGAATGTATGAGCTCATCAACGTTTCGCCACCCAGTAAATTTGCGGTTTTTAATTGTTACTGATTGCAAAGAGCTGAAACTTGCACAAACTGCAGAAAATCACCGGCTCTTTTAATTTTTGAGCCTAAATGGTATATACGGTTACATCGTCAATGGGTTAACTGATATGCTAATGAGCAAAAATGTAAATATTGACGTCACGATGAATCCACCTATTGCAGCTAGGTCAATAACGTCAGTTCTGGCTCGACTCTCAGAGTCGAGGAGTCGATTAGAGGAGACGGCGTGGCTGAGCGGTTAGAGCGCTGGACTTGTAATTCGGAGGCCCCGAGTTCAAGTCCCGCCATGGGACGGAATTGTTCAGTTTAGTCCCAGCTTCAAATCCTCGCCCACGCTTGAAATAGCCATCTTGATTTGAATTATGATGATGATGATGATGATGATGATGATGATCTATTTAACAAACTCCTAAGGCAATGCAATTTTTTATACTTTGTTTTTATGTAGTTCCTTCTTCAACTACGACTGCACCGCCAACGGAACAAACCACAAAGACAACATCGAGTGAAAAAATTAGTTCTTCTGGAAACGAAAAACCGAAAGGGACGGCGCAACTGAGAAAAGGTAACCAAAAAACCGAAAAATATTTATTTAAGCCGAAAAGATTGGTCAGTGAAAATACTCTTTAGTTTAGCTTTGTTGTCCTTTTTACGGCTCCCTTATTAAAAATCCACTTGCTCTGTTTCCTTTCTTTCTGGCCAAAGGGAATGGATTATAATACGGGAGGATTCTTTGTTTTGATAAAACTTAGGAAAACTTGTTGTTTGTCGTTAAATATAAAGCCGGTGTGTTTTCAGTTTTCATTCCTGATGATCGATTTTCTGTGGTTTTTGCTCTTCTATTTGAGTCTTTAACGTCTTCAACTAGTTTGGTTTGGTTCGTTGAGTTCTTTTGAAGCATAGCTTTTGCATTGCGGCTAAACGACTTTTTAATAGCGAGTTGGTTTTCTTTAGTTTTCTCGAAAGTGCCTGGATGCTGAATTGCAAGCTGCGTTTAGTTGTTTTGTCTGTAGGTGAATGTAATCACATGGGCTTGAAAGGGTTTAGAGGGTTGGAACCGTTACAGGGGATGCTGGGGTTACAAGAGGTCCAGGGGGCTTAAAAGAGATTACAGGGGTTACAACGGGATACAGGGGGTTACAAAAAACCGCAAAATTGGCATTTTTCCAAAGGGGAAGTCCATGGTTTTGGTCAAAGATTTGAGATGTTGCCAATTTTTAGTTTTATACAAAATACTCCGAGAAAAATTATTTGGTTACATTTTTGTTAAACAACAAGCCTTTTTAGACAATGGAAACATGGATTTAAGAGAAAAGCAAAATTCGCATTTTTCCAAAGGGGTTAGACTATGATTTTGGTCAAGAAAATGAATTTTTTTCATCACTTGTGTTTATCAAAAATAAATCGAGAAAAGGTGTTTGCTGGCGTTCTGGAAGCTTTTCAAGAATATTAGAACATCTTTTTATAAAAAAACACAAAATTCCCTTTTTTAAAAAAGGGTTAGTCCATCGTTTTCCTCAAAATTTTGTGATTTCTTCAACTTTTGTTTTTAGGCAAAATAGACCAAGAAAAAGTATCTGTGGACGTTCTAGTTCGAAAAACGTTTTTTCTGTAACCCGTTGTAATCCCTTGTAACCCTCTGTAACCAGCTGTTTCACCGGCCATGTAATAGATCGTGATAATAGATCGTGAAAGAACGATTTTTGACGTTTTATATAGAAAACAAGCCATTCTCGACTATGAAAACATAGGTTTAAAAAACAGCAAAATTGGCATTTTTCCAAAGGAGTTAGTCCATCGTTTTCGTCAAAAATTTGAGATTTCATCAACTTTTATTTTTATGCAAAATAGATCAAGAAAAAGTATCTGGGGACGTTCTAGTTGGAAAAAAGTCTTTCTGTAACCCGTTGTAATCCCCTGTAACCCCTTGTAACACCCTGTTACCCCCTGTAACCCCATTTAATAGATCGTAAAAGAACTATTTTTGAGGTTTTATATAGAAAACAAGCCTTTCTGGACTAAGAAAACATCGGTTTAAAAAAGGCGCAAAATTGACATTTTTTCAAAGGGGTTAGTCCATGGTTTTGGTCAAAAAGTTGAATTTTTTTCATCTTTTGTGTTTATCAAAAGTAGATCGAGAAAAAGTGTTTGCTAACGATCTAGTAGATAGATAGAAAAGAAACCTTTCAACACTTTCTAGATAATTCTAAATAACAGAAACGTGGATTTAAGCCAACAGAAAAACTGGCCTTTTCCAAAGGCCAACCACTCATCCACCATCACTGTTCCACTGTATCACCACACTGTTCCACCATCACTGTTCCACTGTTCCACCAACACTGTTACACCGTTCCACCACACAGTTCCACCATAACTAATCCACCATCGCTGTTCCACCAACACTGTTCCACTATTCCACCTCAGTGTTCCACCATACTGTTCCACCATCACTGTTCCACTAATCCACCAACACTGTTCCACTGTTCCACCAGCCCTGTTTCACTGTTCCACCAACACTGTTCCACTGTTCCACCACACTGTTCCACCATCACTGTTCCACTGTTCCACCACACTGTTCCACTGTTCGACCAACACCATTCCACTGTTCCACCATCACTGTTCTACTGTTCCACCACACTGTTCAACTATCACTGTTCTACTGTTCCACTGTTCCACCACACTGTTCCACCAACAACACTGTTCCACTGTTCCACCTCACTGTTCCACAACACTCTTCAACCACACTGATCCACTAATACCATTCCACCACCACTGTTCCACTGTTTTACCACGGAGATCCACCATTACTGTTCCATTGTTCCACCAACACTGTTCCACCTCACTGTTCCACCACACTGTTCCACCAACACTGTTCCACTGTTCCACCTCACTGTTCCACAACACTGTTCAACCAACACTGTTCTTCTCTTCGACCACATTGTTCCTCGATCGCTGTTCCACCAACACTGTTCCACCACACTGTTCCACCTCCACTATTCCACTATCACTGTTCCACTGTTCAACCAACACTTTCCCACTGTTCCAACACACTGTTCCACCATCACTGTGCCACTATTGCTGTTCCACCAACACTGTTCCACCTCAGTGTTCCACCACACTGTTCTACTAACACCGTTCCACCATTACTGTTCCATTGTTCCACCACACTGTTCCACCTACACTGTTCCACTATCACTGTTCCACTGTTCAACCAACACTGTTCCACTGTTCCACTGTTCCACCCCACTGTTCCACTATCAGTCTTCCACTGTTCCTCTGAAGCACCAACACTGTTCCACAGTTCCACAACACTGTTCAACCAACACTGTTCTTCTTATCCGCAACATTATCCCACCATCACTTTTGCACCATCGCTGTTCCACCAACACTGTTCCACTGTTCCACCTCACTGTTCCACCACACCGTTCCACCAACACTGTTCCACTGTTTTACCCCGGTGTTTCACCATTACTTTTCCACTGTTCCACCAACACTGCTCCACCTCACTGTTCCACCACACTGTTCCACCAACACTCTTCCACCATCACTGTTCCACTTTTTCACCAGCACTGTTTCACTGTACCACAACACTGTTCCACCATCACTGTTCCACTGTTTCACCACACTGTTTCACTGTTGCGCCACACTGTTTCACCAACACTGTTCCCCTGTTCCACCACACTTTTTTACCAACACTGTTTCACTGTTCCACCATACTGTTCCACCATCACTGTTCCATTGTTCCACCCCCACTGTTCCACTATCACTGTTCCACTGTTCTACTTTTACACCAACACTGTTCCACGGTTCCACAACACTGTTCCACCATCACTTTCCCACTGTTTCAGCAACACAACAACAACAACAACATAAGCTTTATTTGCATGACTATAGTTATGTAGTTACAGTATTGCAAAAGCTTTAACATAAAGTTACAATTTATAACAATGATAATGCAATGCAGTGATTACCACAGTTAATCAAGTGTTATCAGCATGATTTGATAACAAGTTAGTACGTAAATCATTACATAATGAGACAAATTTCAACAAATGTGAATTTACGGAAAAATTCTGTGAATTCATCAATTTAATTATTAATTCTGTGTAAGATAGCTGATTAAAGTCGACAAAATTTTGTTGGATTTGATTGTAGAATTTCTCCCTTGGGGTTGAATATTTTGGACAATGGAAGAGAAAATTAAATTCGTCTTCAATTATACCAGAGTTACAAAATATACCAGAGTTACAAATAGGGCAGAGTCTATCGTTGTTTGATTATATCTTCCAGTTTCAATCATGAGTTTGTGGTTACTTATACGAATTTTCACTAAGTCTTTCCTATTGGCTGAATTTCTAATTAAGTCTAGATAACTTGAAATTTTATAATCATGTTTAAATAAACTGTAAATTGCAGGTTCTTAGAATGATGGATTGTATGTTGCCAATATGTAATACATTTTTGTTTTATTATATCTATATAGTGTTTGATATTAGCTTCAATTAAATTATTAGGATCAAAATCGAGCAGGTCATAATATTCAGATATTTTCATAAGATTATGGTAAAAGCTATTTTTACCATTACAGTCAAGTTCTAGCGAGGTACGAAAGGCTTATTTAACAATAGCATCCTCGTTTTTACGCAGAAGATACAATATATAATAAAGGATGTTTTTGTAAATATTAATAATTAATGCGAATCGTCCTAATTCACTTCTACTTGCAACATTTGAATCTTTATTGCTTATTTCTAGGTAACGCTTGCAAAATTTCAAGTGGGTTTATTCAATTGGGGTATTGTCCCAAGCTTTAAAATCATGTTTTACATATACACCCCAAATTTCGCTATTATATGATAACCAGATTGGGGAAATCATCGCTTCGAATATTTTGCAAGCAAGAGAAGGTTTTAATTTGCTAAAGTTTGTGTGTTTTCTTAAACTAAAAAGAGTATGAAGAGCCTTCTCTTTCAAGTGTTCGAGTGAGATATTAAAATTACCGGTTAAGGAGATACGGGTTCCTAAATATGTACATTCATGGACAATATCAATGGTTTCTTTACCTATATGGAATTCTAGATTGGAGTTTTTCTTCGCTCGTTTTTGAAAGATCATAACTTTGGTCTTTTTAGAATTTATATCTAACATCCAAGAGTTGTAAAAAGAGGATAGTGTGTTGAGACAGTTCTGTAATCCTATTTTAGATCGTTATATAATAATTAAATCATCAGCATATAAAAGCGAATTTAATTTGGTACCATTTGGAAGGATGATAGGGTCCGATAAAGTATTTTGAAATGCGGACGGTAAGTCATTAACGTATAAATTGTTCCACTGTTCCACCACCACTCTTCCACGAACACCGTTCCACTGTTCCACTGTTAAACCATTACCACACCACACTGTTCCACCAACACTTTTCCACTGTTCCACCATCACTGTTCCACCGACACTGTTCCACTGTTCCACCACACTGTTCCACTATCACCTTGCCACTGTTCCACCCACACTGTTTCACCAACACTTTCCCACTGTTCCACTATCAGTGTTCCACCATCACTATACCACTGTTCCACCACACTGTTCCACCATCGCTGTTTCACTGTTCCACTATCAGTGTTCCACCAACAATGTTGCACTGTTGCACTGTTCCACCACATTGTTCCACCATCACTGTTTCACCAGACTGTTCCACTGTTCCACCAATACTGTTCCACTGTTCCACCACGCTGTTCCACCATCGCAGTTCCACCAACACTGTTCCACCTCACTGTTCCACCACGCTGTTTCACCAACACTGTTCCACCATCACTGTTCCACTGTTCCAGCAATACTGTTCCACCACCATATTTCCACTTTTCCACCATCACTTTTCCATTGTTCCACCAACACTGTTTCACTGTACCACCACACTCTTCCACCATCACTGTTCCACTGTTTCACCACACTGTTCCACCATTACTGTTTTACTGGCACTGTTCCACTCTTCCACCACACTGTTCCACTACTTTGGTTTATCAACAATGTTCCACTGTACCACCACACTGTTCCACCATCACTGTTATACTGTACCACCACACTTTTCCACCATCACTGTTCCACTGTTCCACCAACACTGTTCCATTGTAGCACCAGACTGTTCCACCATCATTGTTCCACTGCTCCACTATCACTGTTCCACTTTTCCGCCAACACTGTTCGACAGTTGCACCACACTGTTCCACCATCGCTGTTCCACCATTGTTCCTCTTCTGTCCGAGTCTTTGACGTCTTCAAGCAGTATGGCCGGATTTCAGTTCGTTGAGTTCTTTTGAAGTATAGCTTTGCATTGCGGCGAAATGACTTTGTAATAGAGAGTTCGTTTTGTTTAGTTTTCTTGAAAATGCCTTGCTGCTGAATTATAAGCTGCATGTAATTGCTTTGTTTGTCAGTGATTGTGATGACGTGGGCTTATAAGGGGTCAGGGTATAAGAACCGGTTACAGGTGATACTTTGGTTACAAGAGATTACATGGGGTTTACAAGAGCGTACAGGGGGTCACAATGGCTTACAGGACGGCAGCAACCGGTAAGAGGGGTTTGCCAGAAAAAAACCAACACGCATTCTAACTCGAAATCGAACTCGAAATCTTAACTCGGCGAATGGGTTTTTTTTTTCGACACTTTTGTTGTGTTTCGAAAATCATCCTATAAGTAGGAAAGACACTGTTAAGTAGTTAGAAAAAAATGTTGATAGTATTCATGCTGGGTTTAAAAAAAAATTAGGTACTTTTTCTTAGTGCAAAAGTTAAGGGCCTCAGTAGTTTTCCAAAACTTGCAGCGATTTATTTCCATATACCATTATCATTGTAATTAACGTTATCGTTACTCTATTTATACTGATTTATACTACTACATGAGAAATTTCTGCAATTTGATTGGCTTAGAGCAGTGGTATTTTAGCTTAATCTGAAATACCTACATGTGAAAATTACAAACCTTCTGCTGGTAGTAGTATAAACAAATAATAGCATGATTTATACGTGATATTTGGCATAAATACCACTTGCGATATTTCAAAATTGTCTCAAATTTCACTCGCCTAACGGCTCGTGAAATTATGTCTAACAATTTCGAAATATCACTCGTGGTATTTGTGCCAGATGTCACTACAAATCATGCTATTACCTATACTAATAGGCTATTTTCACGATGAAGGCATTGGACAACAACTATCAGAAGTCATTTTATTTTGCCTTCTCATTTGTCAATCCCTTTGAGGTATTTAAACCAGTACGCCACTTTTACATTTTTGCATTGCATTGTTCATTACATCACTTTTACATTGCCCCCAAAAAAAAAAAAAATTTGTATAAGCATTGCCCTCAGTAGATTTTTTCGGTCAGTTATTTAAACGGAGTTCAGCCAGTGTTAATTACAACCGCGTTCTGAGCCATTTTCAGTGTGCCGAACGTTTTTACGTAAACTCCATTTATCGTGAACAGTTTCATGATAGCACATGGCGTAGACTAGAAAAGCCGTTGTCTTCTTAAAATCACTCAGGAAGGAAGGGATCTGGAGGTCCAAAGAATTCCTAAACCGTGGTCTAAGTTAGACTTCATTTAAATAAAATAACAACCGACCCCTATTTTCTCCTAAAGAGTGTTTTGTAAACTCTTTGTAGATTCCAAGGTTTCGGCGATCGTCGCGCCAGTGGTTGTTTTCGTTTTGGTCGCCCTTATATTATTGGTTGGATTTTTCTACTGGAGAAGGTAGGATCGCGCCTCAATAGAAACGCCATCATACATTTTTTAAGAGAACCTGCAACAGATGTAGTTAAATGGAAACTGAAAATTGGAGATTGAAGAGGAATCGACTTTCTTTCGTAAAGAGCGAAAGCAGCAGGAAAACGTCAAAAAATTCAAAATGGCGGTGCGCTGAAGATAAAGAGAGAATGTAAGCGTTGACAACGAGTTTGCCGATTGAGCGCATCGGTTCTTCGCAGCTGCACATGCTCTAGTCGTTTTCACGGCAAGTTTTCATCGAAAAGTCGAGGTGGTGAGAACGAGATTTTTAAAGGATCAGGAGCAACAGTTTCGATTTGATTTCGAAATACTCGCTTACGTGACAGGCGCAGAAATCGACTTCAAATCAATAACGATTGTCGAAATCGCACTCGTTGTCAACGCTAACACTCTCTAGTGTTAAGGCGAAAACAAGAAATTTTTGTGCCACTTTTTTCCTTTCGCTTGCCAGGAAAACAGTTGGAATTTTGGCTTTCGTTTGAACTCATTTCGTTCAATTTGTTACAACACGGAAGCAAATGGGAACTAAGTGAAATTAAAACCAGTCGGGTACTAGAACGCTGTCTGTCCCAGTGGGGAGGGGTACTCCGGATTTAAAGTGACAGGGATGATCAAAGATTTTGGGGGGGTTTCAAATTTTCGATTTCAGGATATTTTTGGATTGGAAAATTTTGGCAGGTATTTTTCTGGGTAGCTTGATTTAAGTAGGCATTTTTTTGGGTATTCAAAACAATCTCAAGATTCGAGATAGTTCCCACGTATCCCGGCCGCGTAGTTCCGCGAAAAGATTATTTTGGCTCGGAAATTCAGCGTGAAATTTTGGTTCAGGGATTTTCCTGGAATTCGTTTGAAGCCCTAGGGATTTTTTTGGGTTTTGATTTTTGCCCCCATTCTATCATCCCTGTCACTTGAAATCCTGAGTACCTCCCCCCTCCCCTCCCCGGACTGTATATGCAGCCATGACAATGCTATCGTTTTTCTGCTTATTCTGTGACAGAAGGAGATCAAATAAAAACTTGGAGATTCAGCAAGTGACATTCCAGAAGTAAGTAATCTTAAAATGAATATACTTAAGTCAGTTTTCCTGGCCCAGCAAAGTTTTATACGGGGGTAAAGGGGCTCTACCCAGAGGGGCAACCCAGTGCCGTTTTATGTACCATTATTTCTTTTATACTACTACATGAGAAATTTCAGTCATTTGATTGGCTTATAGTAGCGGTATTTCTGCTTAATTTGAAATACCTACATGTGAAAATTACAAACCTTTTGCGGGTAGTAGTATAAACAAATAACAGCGCGATTTGTACATGATATTTGGCATAAATACCACTCGTGATATTTCCAAATTGTCTCAAATTTCACTTGCCTAACGGCTCGTGAAATTACGTATAACAATTTTGAAATATCACTACAAATCATGCTATTACCTATACAAAGCGCTGTTATTTTATTTAATTACAGGTCACGTATTTTTTATTTGCAGATCTGGCCAGGAACCTCTAGAAGGAGCAGTAAACCCTTTGTATGATGGGTAAATATAATATTTCAGCTTTAACACACTTCTCTTCTTTATTATAATTTGGATCAAAACCCATCGGCTTTAGAATTCACGAGCTTAGTGCACAACAGGGATGAGTTCCTTTTTACATGGAGGTGGTGGACCCCAGATAGGTGGGGTAAAATGTGGCGGGTCATCCCACTTATCATGTAAACGCGATCAGCTTAAAACGAGCGATTATATGGACAGGCGGGTTGACCCGCCTAAGCGGTTTACCTCACCTACCTGAGGTCCCCCACCTCCATGTAAACAGCCATCAATCTAGCCTGTTCCAGGCTCAAAAATTGTAATTGCAGAGATCGTAAATGCAGATGCGAAAAAAAAAATCACAGGTCACGTGCACCTTGTTTTCACGACGTCCCTACCATCTTAGGCTATGTTTTAACCCTTTCACTGCGAGAATGCTTGATGGAGATTTTAAGGGGACTCTAACTTTTGAGGCTGTGGATGAAATCCTATAATGTGACCATTCAAATGAAAGCTCTTTGCCTGTTATTTCACACGATGTTATCTGTTTTTCAAAATTTCAGAACGTGAAATTTCGAAATTTGGTCGAAATTTGCTTTTGGTTAAATTTGGCAGTGAAAGGGTTGAACTATACCGGATAGCCTTTCGTGGCGCCACGAAAAGCTATCCCCCAGGGAAGCTATCTGGTATAACATGGACAGAAGCGGCCTAGGGCGGGCAGCCCTAAAGTCGTCCACACGAATATATCCAATGGGGAGTTTAAGATAGCACGACAGCGAAGACCACGTAAAAGTGGCTTAAAAAGTGAATATGTGCTCTTTTAATCTCTATCGCGATTACTCCAACTCATTTACTTTGTCAAACGCAAGCGAACTGTTACTTCCGCGACGAACCGAATACGTGTTCACACTGCACTAAAATATGGAAAAAACCTATCCGATATGTGACGCTCCACTCTCGTTCCGTCACACAAATCGCGCCGCCACAACCGTTCTTTTGTGTCAACAGAAGCACAATGCTGTATGATTATCGTGGTGGTCCAAACGTTATACTGTGAGTACTGTGAACACAGTTTTAGAGCCTAGTACGGTTAGAATTAATCCGGTCGTTAAAATCAAATATTTTTCACCACACAATCTAAAGTCAGACCATCACAAGAACTTTCCATGGTGGAAAATTTTTAAAATGGTGTTTCAGTTTATATTTATCATTCTGTTTTTGGTTTCTTGTTAGAGGTGAACTGCAGTTCCGTGACACCAAAGAGGCTTAGCCATCAAGGCAACACAAGACACCGTTCAGCCTATTGCTTTTGGTTCTTTTCCCAATGTTTTGTTTTTTGCTTTGTTTTTGCCTAGTGTCGTATAAGGACTGTAAATCGTGTGAACGGCATTTCTGTTAAGGTGTGGTAAGATGTGCAACTTGTTTTCTGACATTGCTGAAAAACGAGTTAAGTAGTGATGTTGCGCGTTTTACCACCCACGAATCAAACTTCAGGTTGTTGCAGGTTGCAAAAAGTTGTTGCAGAAAGTAATGAGTAGTTCTACTTTTTGCAACAAAACCTGTGCATTTTGTGCGTTTAACAGGCCCAACGAAAGCTTGTTTTGAAACAAGTGACGTAACTCACATCTATAGCGCGACTTTTATCCCATCATAAGTCAGTATTTTCGCAACTAGCAACAACCTGATTTGTTGCAAAACAAACAGGTTTGAACGTAGGTGGTAAAACGCGCAAGATAGCTTCTCAAGTCGTTTTGCAGCAATGTTGCAAAGGAAGTCGCACGTTTTTGTTGTCCGTTTGACCGTAGCTTTAGGTGTGCAGAGAAACTAGTAGCTTATCTAAATCCTAAATTTACAAAGTATGATAACTCCAATTGTTTTTTTTTTGTAAGTTAATAAATTTATAATTCATTTAAAAAATGTCTCCGTTTCTGATTTGTTTAAGTCCTCCGGACTGACAAATTAGACAGACGAACGGACGGATTAGACGGACGGGTGGACGGACTGGACGGATGGATTGGTCAAACGGACAGACGGACGGATTGATTGGATGGACGGATGAATTGGATGGACAGACGGACAAACTAAACAAACGAACGCACAGATGGAAGGTCGGACGGACGTGCGCACGGACGAACGGACAGACGGACTGGGTAGAGTGTACAAATGGACTGGATGGACTAGATACTAGATGGACGGACGGACGGGAAGGACCGGATAGATTGGACTTGACAGACGGACAGTACGGACGCACGGGCTGGAGGGGCGGATAGACTTGACGGACAGACTAGAAGGAAGAACGGACAGACTGACTGGATAGATGGATTGGATAAACGGTTGGATTGCACGGATGGAAGGACGAAGGGAGGGACGGACAAACTAGACTGATGGACGTAAGCGAAGTTTATTTCTGTATTTGTGCAGCAGGTCATTTGCACGATGGCGTCGTTTTACTACTACGACCAGAATCCTTTTCGTTTTTCCTTTCATATTTAAATTTTGTAATGACATTGAAGTTTACTGTCAAACTCAGAAAACCGTGAACACCTGAAAAATTTCAGGAATGTTGATTGTGTACTGGCCAATTACAATTAAGTTCACGATACGCAAGAAAACCTTATAACCACAAACTAATTACTGTTGCTGTTTTCGGTTTAGTTATCTCGCTCCTTATTGGCTAATTTCTCGCAAAACAATAACATTTCATAAATATTTCTGGTGTTCACGGTTTTTTGAGTTTCACAGTATATAATAAAAGGCCTAATTTGCAGAAGAAAGAAAAATCCTTAAGGATTCTGGTCGTACTAGTAAAATGTTGCCAAAGTACAAATGGCCTATACAAAACAGTATCAAAACATGCGGTAATTGCCAACGAGGCAACCGAGCTAAGAAGCGAGGTTGCCTCGGCGGCAGAATTATAACGCCGTGCAATGTGGGCAAAAACTATCAAATTCTGCGTAACCCTCTAAAATTTGCATTTTTGACCATATTTGTGTGTGAGTAAGACCCCATATTTTGATAGTGACGTCATTGTCTTATATTTGCAACTCATGGTCTGAAATTGGATGATTCACTGAGCAGCTGTTCGTTGTCTGTTCCAGAGGAACAGGTGAGCAAGCTTTAATATGATTTCTAGTTTTAAAGGGCAATTAGTAGTCTGGTTTGTCACCGTTGTCGATGTCGGCACTGTTGTCACTGTTGTCGCTGTCGGCACTGTTGTCACTGTTGACACCGTTGTCGCTGTTATCACCTTTGTCGCTGTTGTCACAGTTCTCGCTGTTCTTACAGTTGTCACTGTTGTCACCGTTGTCACCGCTTTCACTGTTGTCACTGTTGTCACTGTTGTCGATGTTTTTACTGTTTTTACCGTTTTCGCTTTTGTCACCATTGTCACTGTTGTCACCGTTGTCACTGTTCTCACTGTTGTCGCTGTTGTCACTTGTCGCTGTTCTTACTGTTGTCACCGTTGTCACTGTTCTCACTGTTGTCGCTGTTGTCACTGTTTTCTCTGTCCTTACTGTTGTCACCGTTGTCAGCGTTGTCATTGTTGTCACTGTTCTCACTGTTGTCACCGTTGTCACTGTTGTCGCTGTTGTCACCGTTGTCAACGTTGTCACTGTTGTCACTGTTGTCACCGTTGTCACTGTTGTCACTCTTGTCACTGTTCACCGATGTCACTGTTTTTGCTCTTGTCACCGTTGTCACTGTTGTCGCTGTTGTCGCTGTTGTCACCATTGTCACTGTTGTCACCGTTGTCACTGTTCTCACTATTGTCACCGCTGTCAATGTTGTCACTGTTGTCGCTATTGTCACCGTCGTCGCCGTCGTCACTAGGGACTTAAAGATCCAACGACGCGGAAGGCAACGAGAACGTTTAATAAGCAAAACAACAACTTTGCACGTGCATGACGCTTTTTTTGTATATTTCTTTCCTGTTTTTGCACGACGTCGACGAGAAAATGCCTAATTTCGCGTTTTAAGGAGGACATAAATAAGCAACGAAGAAATTTTATTTCTCTTTCTGAGCTTGAATATGGTCACTTGACATTCAGCCTTAGGAGGGTTCGCCTACATTTGACAAAGTAAGTGGGCAGGAATAATCGCTGTAAAGACTAAAAGAACGCAAATTCACTTTTTAAGCGACGTTCCCGTTGCCGTAGCGTCGTTGGATCTTAAAGTCCCTACTGTTTACACCTTTGTCACTGTTGTCGCTGTTTTAACTGTTATCACCGTTGTCACTGTTATCACTGTTGTCCCTGTTTCACTGTTGTCGCTGTTGTGACAGTTGTCACCGTTGTCACTGTTATCACTGTTGTTGCTGTTTTCACTGTTGTCGCTGTTCTTACTGTTGTCACCGTTTTCACCGTTGTCACTGTCGTCACCATTGTCGCTGTTGTCACTGTTGTTATTTTCCCGAAAATTTTAGATGCAATTTAACGTATTACGAAGGAGACAATTTTTCAGATTCCTTCTTTCATCACATTTTTGAATCCGAGAATTTTAGGATTCCTTTTTACTCTCTACGAAAAATAGCCTAACCCGGTGGGTGAAATGTGAAAAATTAAACGTTGGATGCCCTTGACCAGAACTGTGAAAAACAACAATAGGTCTAATTTTAGCACACTTTCTTGTACATTTCCTTGCGGTTGATTTGCATGACTGCAACGTGAAACGTCCAGAAAACTTCCTGGTTTTCACTTTTTATGGAGGAAATGTGGTACATGTTCTTGTTCACTTTTTCCACTGCCGCTCATTTTTTTTGGCTCCGCTATAAAATTCGTATCTGTTCGGTGATCCTAGGGCAAACTGGATCTTTTTAAAAATTACAAGGGCTTCAATATTATTTTCCCGATTGATTGACCTAGAAGCAATAGTACCATCCCTCCCATAGCAAGTGCTGCATTGTTGCGCGAACGCTGTCGCTAAGCTTGAATATTCACGTCGCGTATTAAACCTGGTAGTTTACGGTCATATGGAAGCTAAAAGGTGAACAGTGGTTGTTGATGAGCGAGCAATTATTGTGCAGTTGCGATGGGTTTTGTGGAGCCAGCGAGCAAGAAGCAGGAGCACACGTTACCTGCAGATTAGCCGATGGCAATTTGGAGCGGATTCGTCGATTATTCTCGAATTTATAGCGCTTCGTGTGAAGGCGCGTCGAGATGGTCCGTTTGTTTTGTAGCAAGCCTTTAATTCTTCTTTAGTGGATAGTACCTACAATTGCAAAACTCAACGAAATGCCACTTAAACCGACCAGGAAAGACAAGGATACGTTCAGTTGAAGGTATCTTAGCTTTGTTTTGTTATATTGTAACTTTTGGATTATTTTAGTTCATGGGGGTTTCGACGACTCGTCGCATTAATTTGTCCATGTGAATATCAATATATTCATTCAGTGACACATACTACGTCTGGGTGGCCTGTGTTGTTTTCGACTTCGGTCAGGGCTTGCGATATGATGTGGTTTGTACATTAGACACTGCCGCTGTCACTGAATTATGGCGGCTTGAATTGTTTTCTTGCACTTCTTCCTCGTTCCTTTGTGCTGGTACGCTGTCTCCGAGAGGCAAATGTTGCTATTTTTTGCGGGAGGTTTAGTTGGAGTAGACAAACATCTCTTTCAAAGGGGTTCTTTTATTACTTCCATGACTCTATCACTGAATTATATTTTCGTTCTGCTACTCGCCAATGGCGATGTTATTCCAAAACAAAAACAACTAAGTACTGTCTAAAACACGAAGGAAAATCTCATCCATGTCATCCATGGCAAAACTAAAAGACAGCAGATCGTGTTTCATGACTAGATGACGTGCATTTCATCACAGGTAACCCAGGCTCTGTGATAGTACCACAGTACGGTTCCAGTAAAATTACAGTGTTTGTATGGGGTAAAAATATCATCCTAAAATTTCTAGGAAATACCAAATAAAGATCAATGAAACTTACTCTGCAGTTAATTGTTGTTGTCCTTATTGCTCCAACGAAGTTTCGTGATAATTTGCAGTAATTTGTTCAAATTCACTCTATCTACAATAATAATATACAAGGTAGGAAACACGGGGTGCCATTTTCGCCGACATGCTTTCATTCAACACAACTTTTTCCACGAAATTCGAACTCCAACGGAAAATAAACATGCCAGGATCGTAGAAATAGGATAGCAGCAGATATAGAAACGAATGAAGCTTTCCCAGATAGAGAAACGAATCCCACAGACTTGGACAAACTCGAAGAATATAATCCAAACACACCGAGAATACGCTCGCCGAAGCAGCCGGGCCAGATCAACGCGCGGCCAAGAAAATGAAGCCTGGGCACTGTACAAAAAAATTCCATCCCGGGGGTCCTGGGGTGACCTTTCTAGGGACCGATACATCATGTGCCCAAGGCCACCCTCCCCTGCCGCATTAATCGCTAAATATGTTAATCGCGCTAGTTCTTTCTTTACTAGTGCACGTGCCTTTCACATTCGTCTCAGTTATCGCAATTCATATTCTGTCGCAATTTTCTGTATAATTTTTGACATTAGTTTGTAAGCTTCACCGTTTATTTACGATAGTTTCGCTCGAGAGTCCACAGCAACAGTATCTCAGTCATCATCTACCTTTTGTTCAACCTTGTTTTTAGCCCGCCTTGCAAGCATTTCGCGTTGTTTTTTCATTAGTTTCATTACTGTTATTTGCATTCCTTAGTAAAAGAAATGGGACGCCTTGTAACTCCGCAGACTCTCCTGATTAAATTACTTTTTTTTTATCCATTTAAATTCAGGCGCGTGTGCGGGGTTTGCTCTGGCAAATGGTGATTGGCTAAGAAGAACAATTGCCTTCTAT